AGCCTTCAGTTGATAATGCAGTTCATACAAAGTCTGGGTCAGTGCAATGAGCAGCTCCTTAGCAAACACTGCAGTTATAGTAGCATTGGACAGAAAGGGCTAGATATGAATAAGTCTGTCATGCTTAATCATTGCCTGCCAGGGTTACCCAGGAAAAGCATGGCCTCAGCTGAGAAGCTAGGATGGGTCCTGTGGTGCTGCTGATGGAGGCTGTTAGCTAATTGCACAGTTCACAGCTGAGCAGCATGTTCTTTCTTGAGAGCAGAGCTGATAGTTGCACATCCATGGCTGCCACATGACCAGCTGATTTGACTATCTGGGACATTTGATTCTCTCATTACCATTATTACTATTATACAGGTATGCTGGTGTGTGTGTGTCTGTGTGTGTGTGTGCACACACATGTGCCCATACACACACTTGTTTTATTTTTATCATTTAGGTTGGGCTTTGCTAGATTATGTGGAGTCACCTAGAGAACTTAGACATGTGTTTCGATGGAGCAACTAGATAGGACTTTGAGTTGTCTTGTTTTGAGGATGGAGTGGTTGTGTTTTTGTTGCATATAATATTCCAATATGAAAGTGTGGGCATGTTTTAAGACACATATATGGGAAAAAGTGTGTGGGAATGTTGAGCTGCCAGAAGGAATGAATGGAGTAGTGAAAATCCATTTTGCTGCCCAGGACCCATTTATCATTCTTCTAGCGAAAGTATTCCAATTTTCCTCTACGGAACCACACTGTCCCACACAACCAGCCCAGGTGCTTTCGAGAGTTCTACTCTGGCCTCCAGAGGTGGGTGTGGCTCAGCCTTAGCCGATCAATGCATTGCATTTTCTGTACCATAAAGATTCTACAAGGATAGGGAAAAGACCCAGTCAGAGCCAAGGACATGCAATGAGGAAAGTAAATTTTTTTCCTCCTGGATTTGAATCTGGAAATTAGACTGGAAGCTAATGACAACCTTGACATCTTGCAGAGTCTGAGAATAAAAATGAAGCCAAGATGAATGACAGTCAAGAGATGGGTCCTGGGTGAAATTACTTGAGGCTCTAAACCCACTTTTGCCTGAAGCATGATCCATCCTGAGATTTAAACATCTCCTATTTTACTTTAGATACATATACACATTCATCACCCCCCCACACATATATTATGTATGTACATATAAATATATATACATACCGTTCCATTTATATTTACTTCTTTATATTAAAAACAAGTTCACATTGACATCTCCAATTCAAATCAGTACCACGAAGTTCACTCTTATTATCTTTCTTTTTCTATTTATAATTCTCTTGTTTGACAGGAAGAAACTTGACTTCCATTATCCTCAACATATTGACTTATTTGCTTAATCCTCCTATACGTAACTAATCTCCCATTGTGGCCACCATGCTTCCTCCCTGTCATAGATACCCTCCTCATCCCACTTAGAATATGATTTCTATAAAAATTCTTTCATAATATTTTCCTTTATAATTTTATATTCCTTTTGATTTGTTTGCTGTATCTGCATTCTTGTTTTTAACTGCTGTGTTTTTTCTCTTTACTATGTTATATCTGCCATTTGTTCATTATATTAGTCTCTTAAAATAAGCAGCCTTTGATTTCATTTGTCAAGTGTATTTTTAATTTCTAATTAACTTTATTATGCTTTCAGTATTTTTTCACTCAGGATTTAAATTTTTTCTTTCCTAAGATTTGAAGTTGAATGTTTATTTAATTGTCTGTTAGTAATAAAATTATTTAAAAGCATATATTTTCTTCTTTTTTCTACATTTCAAGGTTTTTAAAAAGTACTT